GAGAAAGGAAGGTAAGGGAAGGGAGGAAGTCAGGGAGGGAGGGGGAAAGGAAAGGAAGAAGGAAAGAGAAAGAGGGAAGGGGGAGAGGGAGAGGGAGGGAGGAAGTCAGGGAGAGAGGAAGGAAGGAAGGAAGGAAGGAAGGAAGGAAGGAAGGAAGGAAGGAAGGAAGGAAGGAAGGAAGGAAGGAAGGGGAAGGGGAAGGAAGGAGGGGGAGGGAGGGAAAAGAAGGGAAGGAGGGATGGAGGGGGAAGAAAGGAGGGAGGGAGAGAGGAAACAAAGGGGAAGGAAGGGGGGAAGGAAGGAAAGGGAGGGAGAGAAGGAAGGAAAATAGAGAAAGAGAGAGAAAGGAAGGGAAGGGAAGGGAAGGGAAGGGAGGAAGTCAGGGAGGGAGGGGGAAGGAAAGAAAGGGAAAGGAAAGGAAGAAGGAAAATAGAGAAAGAGGGAGGGGGAGAGGGAGGGAGGAAGTCAGGGAGGGAGGGATGAAAGGAAGGGAAGAGAAGGGGAAGGAAGGAGGGATGGAGGGGGAAGAAAGGAGGGAGGGAGAGAGGAAAGGAAAGGAAGGGGAAGGAAGGGGAGGGAAAGGAAGGAAAGGGAGGGAGAGAAGGGGGAGGGAGGAGGGAAGGAAGGAAAATAGAGAAAAAGAGGGAAGGGGAAGAAGGAGGGAGGAAGTCAGGGAGGGAGGAGAGAGGGACAAAAGGAAGAGAAGGGGAAGGAGGGAGGGAGGAAAGGAGAGGAGAGGAAGGAAGGAGAGGTAGGGAGAGAAATGAAGGGAAGGGAAGGGGAAGGAAGGAAGGAAAGAAGGCAGACATTGTTGGTCCCCCCGTCCCTCTTCTCTGCTTCAAACCCCTATTTGTTTAGATTTCTCTTAATCCTCTGTAACTTTAATCTCTTTTTATATTGATAATGGTCTTTATAGCTCTACATCTTACTACAGTATATTGTAAACTGCCCAGAGGCTTCTGGGACCGCCAGATGGGCGTCCTATCCATGTAATAAACAGGGACATCAAAATAACAACTGGGAGGTAGAGACGAATAGCGGCGTGCGCGTGAATCCTCATCCCTCCTCCTCCTCTTTCCCTCCCCGCCCGCCAGGCTGCCTTCACCACAACCAGGTGGTGCCAGATGGGGAGGAAGTCCCCAACTCGCTGGATCCATGCCAGATTTGCGTCTGCACCCGGGGAGAGCTCGTCTGCGCCCCACGGAAGTGCGCGGCTCCCCTCTGCGCCCACCCCTTGCCGGGATCCTGCTGCCAAAACAACTGCAACGGTAAGAGGGCAGAACCTCGGCAGGGTTGCCCCAGAAAACCGGTTCTGTCCGGTGTGCAACATCCAATAAACCACACACACACAGCGAGGTGGAGATTTAATGACTCAGAATAGAAAGCAAGGAAGCAGGGGTGCGATTCAGCCGGTTCGGGCTGGTTCGAGCGAACCGGTTGTTAAATTTACCTCTGGTTCGCCGAACCGGTCGCAGGCCCCACCTGCCTTGCCCCTCCCTTCCCAGGAGTCCCCACGTAGGGCCTTTTGGGATGCGGGTAAGTGCAGGCTCTGGGAGGGCAAAAATGGGCCAAACTGGAAGTTCTGGAAGTCCGGAAACGGGCCTGTTTCCGGCTTCCGGAGGGCCTCTGCAGCCCGGGAGAGGCCGTCTTCGCCCTCCCAGAGGCCCGAGGGAAGCCTCCGGACTCTGGGGAAGGCAAAAAACGGCCCTTCCGGAAGGGCTAGGCCACGCCCACCATGGCCACACCCACCCAGCAACCGGGCAGAGAACTGGTCGATGGGATTTTTGAATCTCACCCCTGGCTGGAAGGGATCTTAGAGGTCTTCTAGTCCAACCCGCTGCCCAAGCAGGAGACCCCATACAATTCCAGACTTCTTAAAAACCTCCAGTGATGAAGCAGCCACAACTTCTGATGGCAAGCGGTTCCACTGGTTTAAGGTCTTCACCGTTAGAAAATTTCTCCTGTATTCCAGGGTTGTTTCTCCTCCAGAAGGTGTTAGGTGTTCTCTGAGAGCCCCTCTGAGAAGGCAGCAGAGCATGTGCAGAGTGTCAAAGCTCCCCCATTTATGTGCCTGCACCGGGAATCATCTTCTTTTCACGACCCTGTAATCCTTTGCAGGGTGGAGTCTGGGCGACCGAATGGAGCTGAGTGTTTTACTGGCCGGATGCTCATCCTGTCACCAGTGCGGAGTTTTGTTCAGCAGATATATATTCTCATTGCATCCAGGGAGAGAAATATATGTGCCTCTACCTAGGATTGAACTCACAGCCTCCTGATTGTGAGGCGAGAGCTCCACCTCTAGGCCACCGCACCACTCATGGGCCTGCCCTGGAATATCACCCCACCCCAAATTCCCCTCAGTTTGCAAAAATAATGAAGCTGATTTGTCTAAAATGGTATAGAGCTGTGATGGCGAACCTATGGCATGCGTGCTACAGGTGGCACGCAGAGCCATTTGTGCCGGCACGCGAGCTGCAGGCAAACTTTATACCTCATTGCACATGTGTGGCGCCTCACGGCTGATTTTTGGCCACTTTGAGGCCTTTTTCTGCCTCCCAAAGGCTTGAGGAAGGCTTCTGCAGGCTTTGCAGGCCGAAAACTAGGCCCGTTATGTCACTACCCATTTTTTTTTTCCTGAAAATACCGGAAGTGACAAACCAGGCCTAGTTTTAGGCCTGCAGAAGCCTCCCTCAAGCCTCTGGGTGGGCCGAAAATCCGCTGTGAGGCCCTGTGCAGGTAAGGGGGCATCAGGGGTGGGTGGGGATGGAACATGCATGTGTACGGGGCATGGGAGGGGCACGCATTACCTTCTGGGTGCTGGCACGCAAGCGCGAGCGTGCAAGTGCACACACGATTTTTGTGCACAGGAGCCCCCCAAAAGGTTAGCCACCCCTGGTATAGAGTCTCTCGTTCAAGTGGGGGGGTGGGGGTGGACTACAAAACCTTTGAGGTTCCCTTCCAACTCTGTTATGCTGACATTTTCTAACCAGGCTGCAGCTACACCGGAAAGGAGTACCCCAACGGAGCAGAGTTTCCCCACCCCACTGACAGCTGCCGGCAGTGTCACTGCATTGTGAGTGCCCAGTGGTGGCAGGGGAAGCTGGCAGCCCCTACCCTACCCCCCACCCACCGATACAACAGTTCAGAGGAAGATAGGGCGGGTCGCTTCTGGGTCAGGGGAGGGATGGGCTGCATGACCTCAAGAGTGCCTGTTGAATCAAGAAGAGACCATTCCTTCCCTCCCTTTGGCAGAATGGCCACGTGCAGTGCCTCTCCCGTCGGTGCCCACCTCTGCTCTGCCCCGAGCCCACCCTGAGACCCCAAGAGTGCTGCCCCCAATGTCCAGGTAAGACCCTCCCACAAGTGCCTCACCCCACAACGGGCTGGGTTTTGCCATGGAGGGCAGCCATGCCCAACGGGCTCCGACAAGGAGCCAAGGGAGACTGTGCCATGCCTCTAAACAGCCCCTTCCCCCTTTTTAATAGCCCCTCCGGCTGGCTGCCTCTACTTGGGGGTCACCTACAAGCACCTGGAGCGGTTTTACGACCCATCGGAGAAGTGCCGCACCTGCGTTTGTGCCAATGGTACCATCACGTGCCAGCGCCAGCCCTGCGCACCGGTCCTGTGCTCGCACCCACTGCAGCAGGGATGTTGCCGCTCATGTGACGGTAACAGGTGGCCTCTGGCCCTCCCCTCCTGGTGCCCTTGCTCACCCCTGGACCCCCAGCCCTGGGGGGGGAGGGGGCTCGCTCATTCGACTTGAAGCAAGGGACCCCCAAGAGAGTTGCACCACACATCAGTGGGCTTTCATCTCTCCCTCCGCCCCAAACACAGCTGGGCTGGGCTGCCAGCCATTCCTCACTTCATGCCACTTGGGTGCAGGATTCAGGCTGCCACGGGCCCGTGGCACCAATGGGGGCGGCGTTGCCCCAGGCAGTGTTGTGGCCCGCCAGCAGTCAGCGGATCTGGCGGCAGAGTCAGACAGTGAGGAGGTTGGGGAGGAACCTGGGGTAGTCCTGGAGTCTGGGGAAAGCTCTGACGAGGGCTCTGTGTCAGAGGCAGAGATCGTCTGACAGTTATCAGCTGACTTCAGAGTCGGAGATCCGTGGGGAAGAAGAACAGCTGGAGCCTGTTCCCAGTGTGCCCATGCACAGAGTTGCTAGAAGAAGGGAACGGCTCAGGAACAAGAGGCAGAGATGAGGCCAGGGAAGTCTGGTAGTTGTCAGTTGCCTTCGGAGTCAGATAGCAGGGAGGCCGGAGAATAGCTGGAGCCTGTTCCCAACGTGCGCATGTGCAGAGTTGCCAGGCGAATGGAACAGCTGAGGGACAAGGGCTGACTTGGGAATAAAGCCACGGGTGGGTGGTGAATGGCCCCTCCCCGAGGGAATAAAAGAGGAGTGAGGCTTTGCAGGAGACAATTAGTTCATTTGGGTGAAGTTCTGTTCCTGCCTTCTTGACAAGGATTGTCTGCTACAGTGTGGCGTCTGAAAGATATCGGCCTGGCAACTCTCCAAGCCTGATAAATGTCTGTAATTGGAAACTATCTTGGAAGACTGTTGACTGGGACTTTGCTGGAGAGGAAATTCATTGTAAATCAAATGAAAGGGGTTTATCGGGATGAGGAGTCAGTTTAGGGGAAGCCTAGGTCAGGACACGCAGGACGTTGTGTTACACACCCCAAACAACAGGGTGTAAAAACACGGATGCCCAGCACATTCAGAGACACACCCCTGCTCGTGCCAGCCTGTTAGAGAAAGTTTCATGGCTACCTGGGGTGCTGAACGTCATCAGCATATGGTTGGCACAGGTTACAGGGACTCCTCGACTTACAACGGAGCTGTCAGGATTCTAGTAATCGCTCTAATGAAATCATGATTCTCGAGCCAAACTTCAAAAACCTTCAAAGGATTCATTAGAGGCGACCTACTGGCCCTGCCCTGTATGAAGCCAACTCTGGCATACATCATTTACAGTCCCCTGTGATCCTGTTTCCTGCCCCCCCTCTCCTCGCTGGGTGTGTCATCAATCACATTCTCCAATTAAATATATTCGTGGGCAAAAGCTCTGGTAGTTTAGTTATAATCTTTTAAAGAGAAGAGTTGGAATGTACTTTCGATTCCCCTCCTTTTTTTATGGCAACTACTGAAATAGGTATAGGAATGTTTTATGAATTGACACGTTCCTTTAGTGAACCTTCAACGACACTGAAAAAAATGACCAATGACCGCTTTTGCATGCTTATGACGGTTGCAGTGTCCCAAGGATTACGTCATCAAAATTTGAACCCTTGGCGACTGCCTCTTATTTATGATGGTTGTGGCATCCCTGCGGTGAGGGTGTTGTCATGTTATCAATTTCAGAAGGTTGCGACTGTACTTATGACGGTTGCAGCGTCCCGGAATCGCCTTTTGCGACCACCCGATGCGCAAAGTCAACAGGAGAAGCCAGATTCCCTTAATAAGCACAATCCTCACTTAACAACAGGCAGGGATTCACTTAACAGCAGTTGTCAGGGCGCCAACAAATCCACCCCCATTCAAATCATAAGTCTCTAGCGGCATCTCTCAGAGTAAAAAAAGAAAAGATTTATTAAGAGTGGCCATGTTGGCGTTATCTGGATGCAGCCGACACTAAGATACATCATTCATTTCCCCCTATGAGCCTGGTCTTCCACCAACTCCCTGGATGTATATCCTCCAATGGGACACTTCCATAGCCAAGAGTCATCCATCGTGCTCTCCAGTAATAATCTTGCGTGCCAACAGCTTTGGCTGCCAAGGTGATTATCTGAGGCATTTAAGGAATGCACTGCTTTCCCACGCTCCCTTTCTGCTGGCAACTAAAAAGACCACAGGAGAATCTTTTTAGTTGACAACAGTGGCAAAAAAAAGGCCGTAAAAATTGGGTAAAACGCAAGGGAACAAGGGAAACGTGGGCCTTCCATTGGGGGTCATAAGTTGAGGGGTTTGTAGTCCTCGACTTAAGACAGTTCATTTAGGGACCCAAGTTACAACAGCTGTGGAAAAAAAGGGACCTACGACCGTGTTTCACTCCTACGACCCTTGCAGCATCCCCGTGGTCAGCAGATCAAAATTAGCAACGTCAATTTGGGGCTCAGTTGTTGTAAGTCGAGGACTAACCGCAAGGTACTTCTGCTAATGGCGGGGACGTCGTTCACATGCCTGGTGGTAGAGTTTTCTGCCAACGCTTCTGGGGCTCTCCTGCCCACTACCGTCTTGGCTTCACCGGCGCTTCTCTTCCACCCTCACTCTCTTGCAGGCTGCCTTTACCAGGGCAAGGAACTACCCAACGGGGAGCGCTTTGCCGACCCCCAAGACCCCTGCCGCCTCTGCTCCTGCTGGGAAGGGGGAGTGGTTTGCAAGCCCAAGGCCTGTCCTCCAGCCAAGTGCCCGTTCCCAGTGCCCGGGCCCTGCTGCCAGAGCTGTGAAGGTACGTAGAAGAGTCGGGGATCCGGGGGTAGAGGTAAGGCAGGCCTGCCCCCAAAGAAAGGAATCTTTGGGGAAAAGTCAAAAATCCAGAAGCGGCGAAATGACCGAGCTCTCCCAGAGAGCAGGGGTCTCCAACCTTCACCCCTTTAAGACTTGCGGACTTCAATTTCACACGCCACGGGGGGCGCAAGGCACGTTGCCCCCGAGGCAGCTGCAGCGGCGGCAGGGGTCTGACGGTGGCGTGAAGACCGTTCGGTGGGCATATTCCTGACCTTCGACACTCCTGCCGACAGCCACTGGGTGCCCTCGGGATACTCCTGTCCTGCGTGCTGGGTTTATTTAACAGGGTTTATTTAAGGACCGTGACGTTAGCACAAATGGATGCTGCTGCGTTTGCATAAAGACCATTGGAAAAGAAAAAAAATATATTGTAAAAAGTGGCCAAGGTTGGAGACCCTGCAATCGAGCCTGGCTGGAACGCGCAGGACGGGCCCCAAACCCACTGGGCCACGTTTTCCAAATCTCCCACTTTGGGCTGAACCTCCCAAGTCAGTTTGGTTGAAGTGAAGGCAACAGGTAGAAAATGGGAGAGCGGGAGTTCTAGTTCTGACTCAGGCATGGAAGGCATTGGGTGACTTTGGGCCAATCGCTAGGAGGCTGTAAGTTCTAGTTCCGCCTTAGACATGAAAGCTTGTTGGGTGACTTTGGGCCAATCACCAGGAGACGGTGAGTTCTAGTCTCGCCTTAGGCAGGAAAGCTGACTGGGTGACTTTGGGCCAATCACCAGGAGAGTGGGAGTTCTAGTCCCTCCTTAGGTATGAAAACCAACTGGGTGACTTAGGGACAATCACTAGGAGACTGGGAGTTCTAGTCCCTCCTTAGGCATGAAAGCCAACTGGATGACTTAGGGCCAATCACTAGAAGATGGTGAGTTCTAGTCTCGCCTTAGGCCTGAAAGCCAACTGGGTGACTTTGGGCCAATCACCAGGAGATGGTGAGTTCTAGTCTCGCCTTAGGCATGAAGGCCAGCTGGGTGACTTTGGGCCAATCACCAGGAGACAGTGAGTTCTAGTCCCGCCTTAGGCATGAAAGCCGGCTGGGTAACTTTGGGCCAATCAGCAGGAGACTGGGAGTTCTAGTCCCGCCTTAGGCATGAAAGCCGGCTGGGTAACTTGGGGCCAATCACCAGGAGACTGGGAGTTCTAGTCCTGCCTTGGACATGAAAGCCAATTGGGGGACTTTGGGCCAATCACTAGGAGACTGGGGGTTCTAGTCCCACCTTAGGTGTGAAAGCTAGTTGGGTGCCTTTGGGCCAATCACCAGAAGACAGGAGGTGATCAATGAGTACGAAGGGGATGGTGGTCCAGGAATGGGTGTAACTGTTGCACAACTACAAGTTGTGCAAATACGTCTTGACCAAGACTGTCACCTGCTCCTCAAGAAGGAGGGGACCCATAACACCTCCTGCCTTACCTTCTTGGTGGGCCAGGTGGACGTAGCGGGGCAGAGTCGGTCCTTCAAATAGCCCACCCCCCTCATCGTAGCAGAAGAGGCCTTCCGCGATGCTCCACCCCCTACCCTTCTCGATGCCATAAGCTCCGAGGAATACCCACCAGGTGAATTTTGGGGCGTCTCCTGCAACCTTCTCTCACTGTCCCAAGGGTGTGAATACGCCTCCCAGCGCTACCTGAATGGACAGGAGTTCCCGGACCCCCAGGACATGTGTGGTCTCTGCTCTTGCCTGGACGGCTTCGTCACCTGCACGCGGAAACCCTGTTTCCAGGCGCCCTGCAGCCACCCTCTCCGGACGTCCAGCCAATGCTGCCCTACGTGCCATGGTGAGGTCCGAGGGATGGGAGGGCGGGAGAAGGCGGGAACGGGGATTGGGATTTCTACCGGTTCAGACCGGTTCGAGCGAACTGGATATTCAGTTTTCATCTGGTTGCCCGAACCGGTATTTCAAACGACTGGCTGACCCCGCCCACCCCGCCTCGTCCCTCTCAGGATTTCCCATGTGGTCAATTTTCGACGCAGGTAGGTGCATGGTCTACGCGGAGGCTGTGGGAGTGGGAAAAATGGGCCTTCCAGAAGTACCAAAAGTCCAAAAACAGGCCTGTTTCTAAGATATAAGACATAAGACATAAGAATTTATTTGTCATTACACTCGCAAGCGGGTGCAACGAAATGAGGTGCTCTTCCACAAGTAAAACTGGACAACACCATTGAAAGAAAAATAAAACTAGACACAACAAACCATACAATAATCTCTATACAATTTAAAAATGTAAATACCCCCTTACTCTCAGCCATTAAATTCCACAAAAATCTTATGACCCTGCATTCAAACTCAAAACTGCCCTTGGATAAAAACTGTTCTTAAATCTAGTCGTCCTTGTTCTTAATACCCTGAATCTCCTTCTCAATGGTAATAGTTCAAAGAGCTGATGTCCCAGATGAGAGGAGTTATTCAATATATTAAATCTCTTCCTCTTACATCTGTTCCTATACCGTTCTTCCAAAGAGGGGAGTGAGCAGCCAATGATGTTTTGGGCCATCTTCATCACCCTCTGAATTGCCTTTTTCTCTGCCACTGTGCAGCTCGAGAACCATACACAGAGACAGTAGGATAATATACCGTATTTCCCCATGTATAAGCACCTCCTTTGTATAAGCCACCCCCCCAATTTTTGGACTGTGAAGTTTTGAAAAAAATATTTTATTAGAGAAACAAGTTATGAAGAAAGAAAATTTACAAAGAAACAAAATTCGACGTCTAGATCTACAACTTCGGTCATGACGCCGAAAGCGGTGCGGGCGACGCTAGCAATCTACGCATCGGAACGAGAGTTGGAACGAAGCATTCAGGCCGATGCCTAGCGTATGCATTTCTATCGCGTACTCGCACTCATAATCGTATCATCACGTACAATTTTTACAAAAAAGTATAGCATACTGCTGGAAAACCAGTTTATTCCTACTTTATTATTTTATGCATTTTTCACGTATAAAAAGTGTACCTGCTTTGTATATGCCACCCCCCTACTTTTTGGGCTTGAAAATTTTGGAAAAAAGGGGTGGCTTATACATGGGGAAATACGGTACTCTCAATTGAACTCCGATAGAAGGTAGTCAGTAGACTCTCAGCCAGTTGTTGTTTCCTAAGAATCCTTAGTAAATACAACCGTTGTTGTGCCTTCTTAATTAAAGCAGCGGTGTTTCTGGCTTCCAGGGGGCCTCTGGAGCCCAGGAGGGACCGTTTTTGCCCTCCCAGAGGCCTGAGGGAAGCCTCCGGATTCCGGGGAAGGCAAAAAACAGCCCGCCCAGAAGTTCCAGTAGGCCACGCCCACCCAGCAACTGGGCAGCAAACCGGTTGCTGGGATTTTCCAATCCCACCCCGGGAGGGAAGCATGATTGGCTACAAAGAAAAGAGGGTGGACCGTGACCTTGCTGACTTTGGTGTGCGCTATCCTCATACCGGCTTCTGGGTACCCATCCCCCGCCCCCGGCAGCAGCTACAGCCGAGCCACTCACTTCTCTTCCTCTCGCCAGATAGACTGCGCCTTTCATGGGGTCACAGTTGCCAATGGGCAAGCCGTCCCTGATCCAGGAGACCCTCTCTGCTCTGAGTGCACCTGTCAGGTGAGTGTGGCAGTTGCCAGGAGCAGGTGAGGAAGGGAGGGAGGGGAATGGAAAGGGAGCATGAAGGGGAAGGAAGGAAGGAAGGAAGGAAGGAAGGAAGGAAGGAAGGAAGGAAGGAAGGAAGGAGATAATGGAGAGGAAGAAGGGAAAAAAGGAGAGAAAGAAGAAACAGAAAAAGAAAGAAAGAAACAAGAGAAAGAAAGAAAGAAAAAGAGGGAGGGAGGGGGGAGGGAGGAAAGAAAGAGAGGGGGCAGAGAAAGATGGAAGGAAAGAAAGAAAGAGAAAGAAAGAAAGAAAGAAAGAAAGAAAGAGGAGAATGGAGAGAAAGAGAGGGGCAGAGAAAGACAAGGAAGGAAGAAAATAAAGAAAAGGAAAGGAAGAAAGGAAGGGAAAGAGGGAGGGTGGAGAATGAAGAGGAAGGAAAGGAAGGAAGGAGAGAATGAAGAGAGAGAGAAAAACAAAGAGAAAAAAGGAAGGAATGAAAGAAGAAAAAGACAGAAAAAAGAAGGGAGGAAGAGAGAGGAAGGAAGGAAGGAAGGAAGGAAGAAAGAAAGAAAGAAAGAAAGAAAGAAAGAAAGAAAGAAAGAAAG